AGCTCATCCTGATACACTTCCCAAGACCCGTGCAATGTGCAAGTGTAGCCGGAATCCCTATGGAGGAAAAAGTGGAAGCAAAATAGAGACTAGGTAAAGCATCCAAAAATAGTTTTAAAAAAAAACTATTTTTAGGAATTTTTCCTCCTAGTATTCTTTCCAAACATCGGCTCAGTTCACAACATAATCAAAACATTTCCTAGGGACGCCGCGTGAGCATTACACCCTGTTCATAAAAAGGTTAACATGTTTCAAGACTCACAGTGGCTGTTCGAATCTCCTTAAAGGGAAAACTGTCCTAGTTGGACTTGGCTGGAATATTAGGAAGGAATTGGGTTCCAAGGGTGGCAGGGTGGTATTGGCTGAACCATCCTAGTATGCAAATGAAGTTTATTTGGTTGGCAAAATAAGGGGGCTCAGCTAAAAAAAGCTCAAAAAACAGAAATAAGAATTGTTTCAATGTCAGTTTCCATTGACTAATATCGTTAAACAGAGAAACTTGTTTCGCTCTGGGTCAACATGACAACCATTACACAGATCACATATAAAGCAGACCAAACAAACCAATTACGATATCCAAAGATCATAATAGCAATAAATGAATACTGATGGTTCATGCAAAAAGTCTTCTTTTCATCTTCCTCCATAAAAAGGCTTTATTTAAGTGAAGCCCACAACCACACATGGAATAATCTTAACCATCAGAGACAGTCTAGGACAGCGACACTGATGCTGACTCATGGCGGAAATAACTCTATCGCAAAAGGCTAAGGAGCAGAGGAAAAATAGCTCAGGCACTCAATGAGGCTCCAGAGTTCTTCCTGCACTCTGCTAGCATGTCCATGTAGAATTGGCACTTGCTAATGTCATTCCCGTAACTGTTCAGGCACTGCAAGAAAATAATCGCACATCTCTAATGTTAGCAAATATTAGAGAATCATTAACCAACAGCTAGAATAAAAACATTAATGAGTATCTATTGGCAATTTTCTTGAAGAAACCTTAAATTCAGATTTCAAACATATTTCGCTCAAAACTACATTCTGAAACCAATGGGAAAGCAGTACTGGTCCGGTTATTCAGTACACCATCAACTAAAACATTGAGCAGTATACTTGATGCCATAATGAGCCAATCACTAAGAACTCGTATACATTAATGACTAGCTATCTGTGATTTTCTTAAAGAAACTATGAATTAGAATTCCAAACATGTTCTGTTTCCAAACTTAGGCTTGCCCCTGTAACCTAAAAAATGATTCACACGTTTGGCCTAAAAATAGATTGTGAAACCAACGAAATAACCACACTGGCCCACTTATTCAGTAAAACATAAACTAAAACCTGAAAAACATGATATACTTAATGACGCCATACCGGTGCAAGCACATGAAATTCATGCAAAGCGTGGAAAGCACAATCATATAACATACATTTGAAACATATCTGACAACCCATAATAAGGAAATGTTAAAGGATAAGGACCTTTCACACAGATCTTGCATGTCTTGTAGAATGTTCTGCTCCTTAAGATATTTCTATATTATTGGACATAAAAAAGCATATAACATTCGAAATTGATGGGTGAATTTGTGAGACATCCATCCCTTAAAGAGTTATTCAGTTCTCCAAGTTAAGGTTTGATTTACAAGTCATGACCCACATGGCCAGAAAAGGTAAGAAATGCATACATCTTGGAAGGCCTTTGTGTGAACACCACAGGCATCGCTACCAAGACTATTTGCAGTTGGTGTAGAGGCGGCAGCAGCACCCTCAGCAACAACTGTTTCATGTTGAATAGTTCGGGGACCCATCACAGCATCCACAGCCCTGTGTGCTACTGCACTACCAGTTCCAAAAGCCATGCCTACAACAAATTTGCCATCCTTTAAGCACAAAGAAATTCGTTCTCACAGGTCCCATACCATACATTAAAATGAAATAATCATATTCACTATCGTACCCTGAGCAATGGTTGAACCAATGCCACCAAGCAGAGAGCCACCACTGCCACTCTGAGCGGGAGCTGGGGGAGGAGCATGGTGAGCTGCATTAAGACATAACCAAGGTTAGACAAAAATTAAACTACTTAAGTTTCTGGCTAAGTAATATTAATACTATGTCACAACAAAACTCTTTGGAAGGTACATTAGAACTTCATCATTATTTGGATTTAAGAACAGCTAAACTTTTCGGAACTTACATTAGAAACATGGTGTACAGCTTAACTTTGTGAACTGAAACCCAAAAAAATTGACAGTTTAACCATTTATTGCATCATATTCTTATTTACCTGGCTGAGGTGGGGGATTACGAGCTGCTGCTGGACGAGGTGCTGAACGAGAAGATCTTCCTGCAAAGATAATCATATCATAATGGATCACACAGCTAAACTATGACCCCTCAGTGCAATATACGCAAATTATCGATTAGATAGGTCATTGATTCAGAATTTTGTAACCAAGACAAAAAAAGAAGAAGGAAAAATTATAATACAACAGCAGCATACGCTTGGATGACAGGGGAACTAGCTTACATTTCAAATGTTTCACTAAAAGAAATGTTCTACGAAAACATTGCCGTTTGCGGCATCACAGATCGCAGAGTTGAAACCATAATAACCACAAATGACAAAGTCAGGATAAAAATCCGATTAGCATCAAAGTATCCACAATAAAGAGGCGACCTGCGCTTTTGCCAGCACCCCGCAAAAATCTTGCTTAAATGATCATCGACTTACGCGACAAGCACCACACGCATCACCAGAAATGAGGGAGCATATGCGTCAACGTATTAAAATTAACGGGTTAACGAAAAATACATCCCTCTAAACAGTAAACGATGTCCCATTTTTCGGGAACAACGGAACTAACGTTTCAGCAAAAGCATAAACGTCTAGAGTCCATTAACAACAACACCTTTCAAGCGCAAAACATAGAACCCTAAAACCCCAATTCCTTCGATAATGAAAGAGGAAAATTGGAAGGAAAAAAAAACCTAGATATCATCGAGGAACTAATCCAATAGATTCCTAATAGATTAATGTCTAGAAGATGAGCAAGAAATATAAATCTATTAGAGGTCAGCAAGTTACCACTGGAGCTGCGGCGAGGCATGGTTACGGTATGGGGTTGAGGCGGGCAGAAGAGCAGATTGGCAGACGAAGATCCCTGAAGAGGAACCACGAAATATGCTGCCGCAAAAATACAAACCATTAAACCCTCGGGACGGGAAATTTATAGCGAGCCCCACAATAAGACTGAGCTGCGGATTAGAGGTTAGCCCGAAAATAGAGTTCTAAAACAATTCAGATTGTATTAACGTGTAAGTACGTGATTGGTTGATTTTAGGTCAATGACGTGTTCAATTTTCGGTTGCATGTTTGGGTGTGATTGGATTAGTAATGCCAAAACCTGACTTTCATTCCTCCTAATTTTTGTAAAAATCAATTAGGGTGAAAGTCAGTTAGTATAATGTAATTTACATTTAGGTTGATTGTTTTTATAAAAATCAGTTTGTTAAATTAAAACTGATTTGAATTAGTAATGAAAAAATAAATTTATATACAAAATGATTGAAAAAACCATGTATTTTATAACATACACCTCATATATATAATTTGATAAATTTAAAAATAATAATAAATAAAAATAAAAAAGTTAATACATTATTTTAAAAAAGGACAATACTCACACCAAGTTCTTTATAATCATTATACCAAGGTCTCCTGTCACACATGACGATGTGTTCTATTTTTAAAATATTTGTATTTAATAGTATTTAATTATAAACTCATATGAAAAAATAGAATATATAGCCATGCATGACTGAAAAACTTGACATAATAGATATAAGTAGCTTGACTTAATATTTTTCTTAAAAAATTTGTAGGTATTAAAAAAATTATTACTCGCAAAAAAAAAAACAAATTATTAAGGCAATATAAGAGTCATTTCATTCTCATTCAAAAAGCTCAAATGTTCAGGCTTGGCGGCACTAAGCTTTTTCTCCGTAAGCTCACTGGGGAAAAGGTTAACCCAAATAAGTATAAATGTTAAAGCCACCGATCTCAGGCAAAAAAAAAAGTTAAAGCCACCGATCAACAAACCCAAAACATGTTTGCTGGTTTTAATGCCACTCTAAACCCATGCTTTGTGGTTAGCAAAAATTTCTTATGCTTGTGATTTTTTATTTTCGCATCATAAAATAAAACACAAATAGGTGGGTCTTGGGGCGCAAAACACCTTCAAAACCTTTTTAAATATAAAACTGAGTTTCGACATTTTATGAGGAGTATAAGAATGTCAGAATAAAAACGAGCACACATTAATATTAGATATACAGAATAAATTTAACAAAACACAATAACAACAATAACGCCGTAATTACTCCTTTTGCTTCTTATTATAATAAGATCTCTTCTTGAAGAAAAATTTGATCCTTTTTATAAGACCATACGATGGTTTCAATCAGACTCCTTCTCATTCGTACTATCATTTTATATCCCCATGTTTAATTCCATTGATGTTAATGCTTTTTTCATTTCTCAAGTTTTGAATGCTTGCATGAATTGGAAAAAAAAGAAAAAAGAATAACCATTTTTGCGGAGGAGCGGGATCCCATTCTTCAAAAGCTTGTAATTTAAATAATCTAAGCCTCCTTGAAACCCAAAAACATGGCAAAATATAATGTTTACATTTGCTCATTCTTCACATAAAACAGAAAATCCTTATAAACGGTATAATTTATCTCATAAGTTTATTCAACGTTCAAAAAAATAAATGAATCAAATGCAATTTAAATAGCTGAATACATTTGCAATGAAAAAAAATGTAAGAAAAAGGAAAATAATTCAAGACATGAAAAATGTAGAGACTTCATATCTTAATACAACAAGTATATAAATCATCGCCGTTTTAACATACGACATGTTTTATAGACAAAATAAACCAAAGCATAACAAAAAACAGTAACTAAAACTTCAACAAAAAGATTATTGAACTAGTGGCATATCTCTAACATTTGACGTAAATATGACCTTATCTTTTTTAAGGAGACCACAACATCAGTCATCATAAGTCTTGCTTCAGGTAATTCAGTGCAACAACTTAATGCCAAGTCAAAAATTGATGATATATGTGGTAATATATTGCTGATATTTGGATTTCCTTGATGCAGCAAATTGACATCTAGAATATTGATGATTGAATGTGGTACTGATTTGCTAACCCAATCTTTTAAACCAAAACCTTCAACAAACACTTCATCAGTTGGCTTCTTTCTCGTAAACATCTCCATTAGAACAATACCATAGCTATACACATCTCCTTTAAAAGAAACCACTCCTTTTAATCCATACTCTGTATTTCAAAAGAGAATATAAGGTTTAATGTTAAACTTTTCTTTTATATACCTAACATAAATCTTCACATATAGGAGTGGAAAATATATATCAATGATTGAATAACATAAAATTTTGCATAGAATAATAATTAAAAAAAAACAACATAACTGAACTAAACTATTATTACTAAACTATTACCTGGTGCCATATAGCCAACTGTAGCCAATGTTTTTGTACGAGTTTCCAACTGTCCTTCACCTAATAGTTTAGCTATACCAAAATCACTTATATGAGCCACCATATCTTCATCCAACAAAACATTACCTGGTTTTATGTCACAATGAACAATCGGAGTTGAAGTACCATGATGAAGATACTCTAACGCAGCTGCCACATCAACCATTATATTCAACCTTTGCAGGATATCTAAACAGTAGTTATGAGAGTACAACCATCTCTCAAGACTTCCATTTGACATGAATTCCATGATTAGAGACTTGAAATCATCATTTGAGCAGCTACTAATAATTCTAATGAGATTGCGGTGGCGTAAATTGCACATGGCAGCACATTCAATATCAAAGCTTCTCAATGCTTCTTCCATGTTTACGTTAAATACTTTAACAGCAACTATCTTTTTATTTGGAAGAATTGCTTTATATACTGATCCAAAACTCCCAGAGCCAAGAAGATTACTTTCATCAAATCCATTTGTTCCTTGTAGAAGGTCATAATAGGATATCCTAGTTGGTGCATCCAAATTTGTTAAATCCCTATTGATTGCATAGTTAGCATCATCTCTGTTATGCTTTAGAAAGACAATACCGAGAAAAACAAAAATGACAACCAGGATAGGCATTGAGCATTTTATCACCAGCATTACTTTATTTGATATGTGCTTCTTTCCTCTCCTACACGGTCGGACTTGTAGTTGGAGTTTTCCACAAAGATCTTTATTCATCATAAAAGATTGAGCAGTAAAATTTTGAAAAGGACCGCCATTTGGAATTTCTCCATCCAATAGATTGTATGAAAGATCAATAGATTTAAGATAGTGTAGTGACTCTAAGGACTTTGGAATCACACCAAACAAGTAATTATGAGAAAGATCTATTAACTCAATACTTATCATGCCACTGAGCCATCTAGGTATAGGCCCTTGTAATTTGTTGTGAGCCAAAGCTAGGTCTTGCAAAGTTGTCAACTCACCCATAGTTGCGGGGATGCTTCCTGAAATTTGGTTTCTTGACAAATTCAATAGTATAATTGCCCTCAAGTTTGATATCTCTGGTGAAATTATTCCACTCAATGCATTGGAAGATATGTCTAAAACCAAAATATCTTTGAGACTCCAAAGAGAAGAGGGTATATGAGAAATCAATTTGTTAGAGCTAACATTCAACTTTTGCAAAGAAGTATTCCCAAAACATTCTGGAACTGCCCCTGTAAACATATTGTTTGCAAGATTCAACTCACTTAGCCTTTCTAGTTGACAAAGGTCATTTATAATGGACCCTTGCAGTCTATTGTTGTTGAGACTTAAATGTTGAAGACTATGTAATTTACTAACTGTATTTGGAATCAAACCAGTCAATTCATTCCCATCCAAAGCTAAATTGATCAAATTTTTTAAATTTCCAACTAGATAGGGTATAGCTCCGCTAAACTTATTCGATGACAAATCTAACGTAATGAGCTTAGAAGCATTTGATATGCTGTTTGGAATTTGTCCAATTAGCTCATTTGCCTCCAGCCATAAGGTCTCTAGGTTGGGAAGGTCAATTCCTAAATATGACGGGAGAAGGCCAGAGAGGGAATTACCATCAAGATGTAAGATTCTCAATGTCGAAATGTTGAATATATTTGAAGGAATAGGTCCTTGCAAATGATTAGAGTCCAAGTCTAAGACATTAAGTTTATTAAGTTTGCCCATCCCTTTGGGTATAAAACCTGCACACAAAAATTGATAGAGATCATGACTTGTATATAGTTAAGATAAGAATACATAAAAATAAATTTATTTTTATTCCTTTTTAAGCCTTTATAACATTTTTGAAGTAAAAATTATGGAAATCATATAAACTACCCTTAGTTAAGATGCCATAGTTTATAGAAGAATTGTTTGAAAGTTAAAGTTTAATTTTAAGATGTAATTTTTGAATAACTATTTAATAGAAAATTAATAAATTTCTGATACAGAAAAGAAACAATTGAAAATTGGGGAAAGAAAATTAAAGAGGGAAATGATGTATTCTTTAATTGAGGGCAGAGGAAAATGGAGAAAAATAAAATCTCATTTTAGTTTTACTCCACTAGAGGGGAAAAATAAGAAAACCATAAACTGCCATCAATTCATGATTTGATCTTTTAGTATTTTGGGATACTAGCTATATTCAAGCCCCCACTAAGAATATGGGCAATATTAATGAAACGATGAAAAAGAAAAATCTCATTTCACATTTATGAGAAGAAAAATAAAACAGTTAACGTTACTTGCATATAATACACATGATATATGTTTGTGTGTGTTATAACAAATAAAACACTGTGTCTTACAAATATTAGAAATTATAAAATGTACCGAGAAATTATTTTTCTTTGTTTAGGTCTTCGTAAAAATTTGGAAATAAAAAATTAAGAAAATCATAAATTATAGTTAAGGTGAAATGATCAGTATTTCTTTTGAAAAATAAAAGTGTTTGTACTGTAATTATTGAATAAGTGTTTAATTTGAAATGAACAAATTTGAAAAATAAAAAATTTGAAAAAGAAGCATAACAGATGAAAAAAGGGAAAATCCAAATTAAATCCATTTGAAATAATGAAATTCTAATTAAGGCTTATACTTTTAACAAATTCCTAATTAGACCTAAGGCCTAATTAGGGATTTTCAAATGTTGTTGAAAGACCGAAATGCCTATTTGTTATCAAAAAGGAAAATTGAATGTATGTGTAAATCTGATTTTAGTTTTAATTATTCTAGTAGATTTACTAATGAGGACGTGGTCTTTCTTAGATTTTATGTCAAAGGTGTGTTTTGTAATTGTGAATATTATGTCAACTCTAGAATTTATGACCTTTTAGTTTTTTTTATATAATAAAAATTTGATATTGAATAAATCTTGGAGACCAAAAAATTGAAGATAAATTGATGAGTCTCAATGTAAGTTGTGAAATAGTAAAATTAATTTTGATAGATATTCAAAAATTCCATGAATCTTTGATTTGATTTTTTCTCACACAAAAAAAAATCTTTGATCTTGTTAATCTTTTACATTTGAAATCGTATAATTTTTATTAGTTCCCATATTTTTGCAATTCTATAGATATCTAGAAATTATGTATTTTTTTTATCTTGAATTTTCAATTATTTTTTATTGGCCATAATCATGATTTTTCTTTTTTTGTTTTTTATATGATAATGTTTTTGGCCAAATTTTCATGTGATAATGTTTAAAGAAAAAACATGTTAGTTAAATTCAATTAAAAGAATTAAAACTAAAATAAGGCTTTTTAATTATGAAGGGCATTTTGGTCTTTTAGTAACATTTAGAAATCCCCAATTAGGCCTCTTGGCCTCATTAAGAATTTGTTAAAAGTGTAGGCTTAAATTAGAATTTTACTATTTCAAATGGATTTAATTAGAATTTTTCCATGAAAAAATGTACTCTACAATAGAGAGGAAAAAAATGCGAAATTAAATTTGTTAGGAAACAGATAAAATCTAAAAAAAGGTACTGGCATATAATAAGTATAAAATCTAAAAAAAAGTACTGGCATATAATAAGTACGTATGTTGCATTTAAATTTGGTTGAACAAGCATTTTACGAGTTGCAGTTATTGTATAATTTGTAATTGTAATTGATCTTCTATACATATCTAAATAATTTTTGTTTATTGTACATTTTTTAATTATTGCGTTGTAATTTGTAAAAAATATTATAATTTTAATTTCAATTAAAAAATGTTGAATTGTTGCAACTTATATATACATAATAAATAAGTAAAAACAATTCCAAACACATCTGTATTTTAATATTATTTAAATATTAAGATGAGAAAAAAATAAAATTAAAGTAATTAAGAAACAGAAAAAATTTTGATAATAAAGTATCGTATGGTTCGGAGTGTTGTCATCAAAGAGTATATGTGAGGATTTTGTTTTTCTTTGTTACAAATTTCACGACATCCATCTATTCATGATTGCGATTTTCGAGAAAAATAAAATCTCATTTTAGAGAAACATATTAAAAAGGAAAGAAAACACTCAAGTGAGTGTATACCTGTAAATGAGTTACGACCCAAATAAAATTCTTTCAAAGATGTGCAGTTACTTATTGATTGTGGAATGCTTCCCTCTAATTGATTAACAGCAACACCAAAGACTTCAAGTAAAGGGAGTTGATGACACATTTCTTTAGACAGATTACCCTTTAAATGATTGACTTCAAGGCCAATAATTTTTAATGACGGCATATTCCAAAGAAATGAAGGAATTTCGCCTATAAATAAATACAAAATATTTGTTAATTACTAGGTAGCATGGCAAGCGTGTTCCTAATAAATCCGTCCGCACACAAGCATATAAATAATACAAGGAATTTTGGCAATTAGATGCTTAAAATTAATAGAAAATAATTTATTTTTTGTTGGACCATAGTTCAAAGAAGAATTGCTGAAGATCAGAGACTATGGAATTAATCTCACCTAATCTAAAATGAACATCCAAATTATTTATATTTTGTATTATAGTTATTGAACTATTTAAAAAGGCTCTAACTTTAAGATCTGAGGACGAATTCATCATAGGAAAAAAAAAAAAAAGGGCTGAAATTTTAGTTTTTCTTTAAGGAATTAAAATACTTTTAGTTACAAATTTTGGAGATAAAGCATAAAATTAAAGATGAAATTTTACCCGTTTTAATATAAAAGTAGATAAGACACGAGAGTTATGTAAATGTTGATGAGAGAATTAGAAATATTATGAAATCTTTTCAAGTACAAGTCCTATCATCAAATAGAAACAAGCACTATATTGATAGCCAACACATACTTATTCTATGATCCAAAATTAAATTTTATTTCTCTTTTTAAAGACATTTTTGCTGGGGCAAAAATTAATTACTATACCACATCACATACTGATAGTACACAAAGTTTTTCAGACCAGTTTTTATAGGGCTTCTCTAATTTTTTTAATGATCTGAATTATATTTTATTTCTCTTTTCAAGGATTTCTATTATGAATACAAAATCTTTAGTAAGCTTCTCATGATTCTTTAACATGAATGAAAGAAATGAAAAGCAAAATCTCGTTTTAAAATTATTTTTTATTTAAGAGATGAAAACAAAAACAAAAACAAAAACAAAGACACATACACACACACGATCTAAGACAATCATATAACTAAAACTATTACCTTGCAAATTGTTGTAGCGAAGAACAAGAATTTCGAGGTTTGTCAAATTTCCAATCTCACTTGGAATGATTCCTGGACAAAGTATATATGAAGCCATTTTATTGATCAAAGTATACAAATGATGTGGTAGATTAAGACTAAAATTTAAAAAAAATTGTTTTTTCACATTTTAAATATAGCAAGTGGTCTCATCAGTCCATGATCTTACCTTTTCTTTATTTTGGCATTGTAATATTGTTTGCATATAATATACACAAATAATAAAGAAACTTCACGTGTCTTGCGTACTAATTTCTAAAACTTGAACATGTGTGCTATACTGATTAATCCATGCATAAATATTAAAAAGGGAAAAGGCAAATTTCCTCTAACCATCAAATTTCTTACCTTTTAATATTGCAAATGAGTACATTAAGTTTAACTATATAACTTTTATGCATTGCCAATTAATCATGTACAGCATAAAGCATTAGACTGATTTTTCTGCAATTTATATCTGATGAAGAAATTTGTTTTGCACAGTTTTAGCGAGAAATTTTTAAGTAAACTTTGCTGAACAAAAAAGTTCCAAAATAGTGTTTAATGAATCGAGATTTTTTTTTATGTAATCTCCCATGCTTTCTCCCTCATGTTGATTTTTCATACTTCTTTTAATTTTAAAATAAAATAATGATCAAGAAGTTATTAGTGGAGAGTTTTATGTTGAAGATAATTATTATCAATTGAACGTACCGAATAATTCCACTTTATAATTATTCACAATTGATATTTTATAATTATTTTATTTAAATAAATTTCTTGTTTATTGTAATAAATAAGGAAAAACGCACCTGCAAACTTTTCTATTTTTAGTATTAAACTTATCCCATCCTACAAATAAGTCGAGAACTTGCCTTACATATAACAAAAGAATTTCAAGTAATACTCATTTCGATTCGGAAGAGTAAAATACAAAAGAAAAATTATTCTTTACATTAATTTCAACTCTTTTAAAAAATTTTAAAATAAAAAGTTATCAAAATCATAAATTATACTTGACATGACATGATTAATATATTGGATAATTATTTAATTTTTTGTTGGTAAGAATCAGTTAATTTGAAATTAATAAATTTGAAAAATAAAAAATTACATGTGGGCAAGTGGGCACATTATACGCTGAGTACTCAAGAAATTCTGTTTTTGAAGTGGGCCCATCAGCTCAGTGGATGAAGTCATGATCCTATCTTTCCGTTATTTTGGGATTATATAATGGGCAAATAGCAAACAAAGACCCCTAATATGTGAAATTATGATTTGGGACCCTTAATTTGAAAAATAGCAAATAAAGACCCGACCTCATATTGTAAATATGAAATCTTGGTGAAATTTCTGAAATGCCCCTCAGTCAAATTGTGATTTGGTCTATTAAATTTGTCATTCGCTAAAGTGAACTTGTCATTTCCTATAGTCAACTTGTTATTTGGCATACCCTCAGCTAAGTTATGATTTGATTTACTAAAGTTGTTATTTGTTAAATTGAACTTATCATTTTTCATAGTCAACTAATCATTTGACTGAGGGAGATTTCAGAAATTTTACCAAGATTTAATATTTGCAATGTGAAATCGGGTCTTTATTTGTTATTTTCAAATTAAGGGTCTCAAATCACAATTTCATATATCGGGGTCTTTATTTGCTATTTTTTCTTGTATAAATGAATGAAATGACAAAAAATAAAATTTCATTTTTGTTTTCGAGATATTTGGATTAAAGTTTTGAAAATAATTTTATGGTGTACGAGAAAATTATAGGCTACCATCAATTCATAATTTGATCTTTTAATATTTTGGGATTGTAGATTACTATTATATTTAAACCCCGTAATGACTATGTATATGTAGATACAATATTAATAAAATGATAGAAAACAAAATCTCATTTTAAATTTATCCTATTAAACAAAATGACTAAAAAACAAAAGAATAAAAGTAAGATATAATAATCTCATTGATTATGAAGAGCTTGACATCCAAATATAATCGATTAGCAATAACTGCTTGTGAAAAAGATTGAATTGAAAGGACTTGTAAGAATAAAAATAAAACAGGTCATAAAAAGTATTTCAAGAAATGAAAAAAAAAAGAAAATTATAAATTACACTCAAGGTGAAATGACTAGTATTGCTTTTGAAAAATAAAAGTTTTTATACTGTAATTATTGAATAAGTGTTTAATTTGAAATTAATGAATTTGAAAAATAAGAAATTGAAAAAGAAGCATAACAGATAAAAAATGTACTCTACAATAGAGGAAAAAAAAATAAAATTAAAATTGTTAGGAAACAGATAAAATCTTAAAAAGGTACTGGCATATAATAGGTATGTATGTTGCATTTAAATTTGGATGAACAAGCATTTTATGAGTTTCATTTATTGTATAATTTGTAATTGATCTTTTATACATATCTAAATAATTTTTTGTTTATTGTATATTTTTTAATTAGTACGTTGTAATTTTTTAAAATATTATAAATTATGTTGAATTGTTACAATTTATATATATAATAAATAAGTAAAGCCAACCCCAAACTTATCTGTATTTTAATATTATTTAAATATTAAGATAAGAGGGAAAAAATTAAAATTAATGTAATTAAAAGACAGAAAAAAATTCTTGATAAAACATCATTGGATGGTTTGGAGTTTTGTCATCAAATAGCACATGAGAGGATTTCATTTTTCTATGTTGCAAATTTCACGACGTCCATGATTGGGATTTTAGAGAAAAACAAAATCTCATCTAAGAGAAAAATATTAAAAAGAAAAGAAAACACGCAAGTAAGTACATACCTGTAAATGAGTTAAGACTCAAATATAATTCTTTCAAAGATGTGCAGTTACTTATTGATTGTGGAATGCTTCCCTCTAATTGATTACCAGCAACACCAAAGACTTCAAGTAAAGGGAGTTGATGACACATTTCTTCTCGCAAATTACCCTTTAAATGGTTATTGTCAAGGGCAACAAATCTCAAAGAAGGCATGTTCCCAAGAAATGAAGGAATTTCACCTGTAAATAAAATAGAAAATATTTTTTCATTACTCGGTAGTATAACAAGCATGTTCCTAATAAATTCACACGTACACAAGCATATAAATAATAGATGGAGTTTTGGTAATTAGATGCTTTAAAATTAATAGAAAATAATTTAATTTTTGTTGGACCGTAGTTTAAAGGAGACCCTTTCAATATTAATGGCAAATTGCTGAACATCAGAGACTATGAAATTAATCTCACCTAATGTAAAATGTACATCCAAAGTATTTAAAAAGACTCTAACTATAAAATCTGAGGATGAATTCAATATAGGCAAAAAAGGGCTGAAATTTTAGTTTTTCTTTATGGAATTAAAATACTTTTAGTTACACATTTTGAAGATAAAGCATAAAATTAAGAATAAAATTTCACTTGTTTCAATTTAAAAGTGAATAAAATACGAGTTATGTATATGTTGATGAGAGAATTAGAAGTATTGTGAAATCTTTTCAAATACAAGTCCTTTCATCAAATAAAAACAAACAATATATATATATATATATATATATTGTTAGCAAACACATATTTATTCTAATGATCCACAATTATATTTTGTTTCTCTTTTTAAAGACATTTTTGCTGGGTAAAAACTGGGAGGACCCTTGAAGATTACTATACCATATCATATATTGATAGTCCACAAAGTTTTTTCAGACCAGTACTGGCAAGGCTTCCCCACTTTTTTTTAATAATCCAAATTATGTTTTATTTCTCTTTCCAAGGATTTCTGTTACGAATGCAAACTTTTCAGTAGGCTTCTCTTGATTCTTTGACATGAATGAAAAAAATGAAAAGCAAAATCTTATTTTAAAATTATTTTCCATTTGAGAGATGAAAACAAAAACAAAAACACACAACACGGTCTAAGACAAATCATATAATTAAAACTATTACCTTGCAAATTGTTGTAACGAAGAATGATTCCTGGAGCCATTTTATTGATCAAGAGTATATAAATAATGTTTTAGATATCAAGTGGTCCCATCAGTTGATGACCTTACTTTTACTTTATTTTGGCATTGTAAAATTGTTTGCATATAATATACATTGAATAAAAAAGAAACTTCATAAATATTAAAAAGGGAGAAAGCAAATTTCCTCTAACCATCAAATTTCTTACCTTTTAATATTGCAAATGAGTACATTAAATTTAACTATAATTTTTATGCATTGCCAAGTAATCATGTACGGCATAAGACATTAGACTGCTTTTCAGCAATTTATCTCTGCATGAAGGATTTTTTTTTTGGATGCAGTTTTAGTGAGAAATTATTAAGTATACTATGCTGAACCAAAAAGCTCCACATAATGTTCAATGAGTTCACTTTTTTTTTTTTAATGTAATCCCACCTGCTTTCTCCCTCATGTTGATTTTTCATACTTCTTTTAAATTTCAAATAAAAAATAATTATTAAGAAACTATTAGCGGAACGTTTTTTTTTCAGAAAAGCTTTATTTAATTTTATAAAGAATTGAACGTATTGAATGCTTCCACGTCAATATGAATGACTTAAAATAAAACAACTTAACTATTTATCAGACTATTTTAAAAAATCTTATATTCTCATTTATTTTTTTTAGATGGGCTTTTTGTCTCAACTAGCTTGAGCTAAAATACAGTTGAACTAGCGTTATCGAATTATTGCATTGAAATTTTTAAATTGAATTCTTTATAATTATTTACAATTGATATTTTACTACTAATAAATAAGAAAAAACACAACTGCAAGCTTTTCTGTTTTTAGTATTAAACTTATCCTACCATAGAAAAATTTTCATATATTACTAACTCTGGCATGTCTAAAAACAAGTCGAGAACTTACCTTAAATGTAACCAAAGAACCTCAAGTAATACTCATTTCAACTCAAAAGAGTAAAATACAAAAAATTATTTGTTACATTAATTTTAACTCTTTTAAAAAATTTTAAAATAAAAAAATATGAAAATCATAAATTACACTTGAGGTGACATGATTAGTGTATTGGATAATTATTTAATTTTTTTGTCTGTAAAAATCATTTAATTTGAAATTAATGAATTTGAAAAATAAAAAATTACATGCGTTAGTGAATTTACAAATTTTAATATTTTATCACGTTGTTTTTTTCCTTTATCATCTTAGCTTTTGTCTATTAATTGGATGAACAATATAAATCAAATGATGAGAAACAAAATCCCATTTTAGAGAAAAGAGATTGAAGTATCTAATAAATAGTACTCCCTCTAGTCCTGAACATAAAGTCTATTTTATAGTGTAAATTATACTAAAAACTGTATTTATGATAGAAGGAGTATTATTTTACACATGAGACATATGGGAGCATTATATAATTTTTTGGAAGTGATTTTATGGTCTATGATAAAAATAATAGGCTACTATCTTCAACCCAAAACAAAATAATAGGCTACTATCAATTCATAATTTGATCTTTTAATATTTTGGGACTGTGAATTATTATTTATATTTAAACCTCATTGTGGATATGTATATGTACATACAATATTAATAAAATGATAGAAAACAAAATCTCATTTTACATTTATTCTGTTAGAGAAAATGCTTAAAAAACAAAAGAATAAAAGTAAGATATAATTATCGCATTGCTTGTGAAAAGGTTGACGTCCAAATGTAATTGATTAGCAATGGCTGCTTGTAAAAAGATAAGGACTTATAAGAATAAAAATAAAACAGGTCATATTATTTGCATATAATAATATACATATATAATTTAACCAAAAAAAAAACCTAAACGTGTCTTGCTAATGTTAGAAGGGGAGAAAACAAATTTCTTATAACCAGAAAATTGTGTGTGAGCCTGTTACGTTTAACCATATAATTTGTTTTTTTTTTTGGCGTATTGCCGATAAATCATGTGTTGCACAAAACCATATAAATAATATATGTAATTAATAGAAAATAATTTAGCTTTTGTTGGAAAGCATAATAGTTCCATTTGTTCAAGATCTTAGCTTTGTTTGTTATTTTGGGACTCTAACCACTAGCTGTATATAAGCCCTATATATGAATTATGAATGAACAATATGAATGAAATCGAGAAAATTAAAACAAAATCTTATTTTCGAGAAAAATATTAAAAAGAAAAGAAAACATAGAAGTAAGTGCATACTGTACATGAGTTATCATCCAAGTATAATTCTTTCAAAGATGTGCAATTACACATTGATTGTGGAATGCTTTCCTCTAATTGATTACCACCAACATCAAGCATTTCCAGTAAAGTGAGTTGGTGACACATTTTTTTCAGGTAAATTACCCTTTAAATGATTGGTGCCAAAGTTAACCTGTGTCAACGAAGGCATGTTCTAAATAAATGAAGGAATTTCACATATAAATAAATATAATATATTTGTTAATTAGTTAGTAGTGTGACTGGGAATTCCCTGAATTGACACACATTACAAATATTTCAAGTAAAGGGAGATGATCAAACATTTTTTTTCTGGTAAATTTACTACAAGTAGATGCAAAATATTTGTTAATTAGTTGACTAGGAATTCCATGAATTCACACATAACATATAAATAACGCATGGAGTTGTGTTAATTAGAGGCTTAAAATTATTAGGAAATAATTTAGTTTTTATTGGAAAGCAATTTAAAAGGGACTTTTCTAATATCAAATAATTCGAAATTAAAATTTCTTGTAAAGAAGAAATGCTATATTTCGTATTTAAGAATTGATTTCACTTATTTTAAATGAACATCCAAATTATCTATATTTTGCATCTAAGTTTTTTAAACCCTGTGTGCAACAACATAACTTTTCCTGATGTAAATTAGTTAAGAAAAATGGATTGTGTAAAACATATCATGTATACTAGAATCTTCATCACTCTTAAGGCAATTTCAGGTAAAACATTTTGCAAACGTTATGGAACAAGCATATTATATATAAGGTTACACATAAGATTCCGCTTTTATACTATTTATAATGTTTTATCATTTTCTAGTATTAGTAGATAATATTTTTCTAATTTTTTAAAGATATATTCCCTTTACATGTCATAAGAATATATGTGATTGACACAGACAAGAAAATGCAGGAGAAAGTGAAAATTAAGAGGCTACAAAGAACCATTGAAATCTCATAGTCCTTATCAATAACTTAGTATCCACAAAATTGACGAAGAAGGAATGTGATCAGCACAAATGCTGATTAGTTTACTTTTCAATGATTCAATATTTCATGTCAATTTTTGACATAAAAAAATCAAGTTCCATGTGTTTGAAAGTAATATAGCAAAATTATTATTCATTAAATTTGTAATGCAAATTCGTGACTTATCAAAATTTAAAACAATCAAATAATCAAAAGTCTTACCTTGCACGTTGCTGTTGTTAAGATTTAGCCACTGAAGTTTGGTCAGATTTCCAATGTCAATTGGTATGTTTTCTCTATTGAATTTGTTATCCCCCAATTGTAATACTAATAATTCTGTGCATTGATGCCAAGTGGAGGGTATTTCGCCAACTAAGTTATTGGCTCCAAGATCAATCCCTTGCAGCATTGAATTGTTGAATAATGAAGATGGTATTGAACCAGCAAGTTGATTGTTTTCAAGATACAATTTCTTCAATTGTGAAAGGTCCCCAATCTCACTTGGGATGCTCCCTTCAAATATTAGAGGGTAAACAAAGAGAATAATGTAAGTAACAATTTTTATTTATAATAAGTTATTGTGCACATGAGACAAATTTGTATTTTTAAAAAACACATATAGTAAAACTTGCACATTTTGAGAAATAACACAAATTTATTCTAAATGATAAAACACAACTACAATTATTATTTATAAAAAGGAATAACCCTTTCCATTTGGCTGGGCCATTGACCATAGACCAAATAATTTGGACATGTGATTTGTTGAGAAATTTGGACCGCTTAATGTCGGAGAACATATTGGGCTATTCCACAAGGCCCATTACACCATGTTTTCTGCTTCCGTTCAGTGCGTTATTCTATGATTTCGATTATTTATCATTGTTATCTTTTCAGATTTGTGGATTCATTAATTTAGATTATGTTCCTTCAATGAAAATTAAGGAAACAAACTGAGAGACACATCGAAATCTCATTGACCCTTGCTTTTCATCATGAGACTCCTAAAAAAATAGTTCTTGCAAACTACAAAATTTTTTTAAAAAATCAAATTATTAATTTAGATTATCCAAAACAAAATTAAACATTCTGAGTATGCTTCTTCTAAGACTTACTCATTTTGAAAAAATAAATCCTTCAGAAACTTTTAATGACTACATTTAGTTTCAAAGATTGATGATGAGCCTTTAGATCCTTTTGGACTAATATGCTTTTCCCCAACCATTTTAAAAATTGGATGACGAAATTTTAATTAAAAAAAGAATAGAAAAATTCTGAAAAAATAAGAAGAAATGCATAAAAATATTAAAAAAAAATTAGAAAAAAACAACTGAGACAAGCCCGAGTTTCTCTAAAAATACCTAATTAACTGTTAAAAGACAGATGAGCTAAGGAATTGTATGGATCCAAAGTGATGGAAGATTTAAGAGTAAAATGTATAGATTTATCAGTAGAGTAATGTTCGCCTCTGCCCAATTAACAACAGAAAAACAAACGCTAGATTTTTTTTTTCATGTTTTGCATTGCAGAATTATAAAAAAAAACTAGTGGATTTAAAAATATCCCTAAATATGTATAAACAGCTAATTACTAAAGACCCAATAAAGAGATAAGATATCATTAATGAAATTTTTTTAATACTGCTAAGATTATTTATCTAAAATTATTTTCAGAGCATCGAATCATCATCTTAATCATTTTAAAAGAGCCGCCATCCTTGAATGATATATATATATATATAAATTATTTTTCAGCAAGTTGTTTTTTTCTTGGATCGATGAGAGACTCGTTGACAAATTCGAATGGATTGTCTCTATATTAGAAAAGAAAAGCTTCAAAAACTTGCAATGAAAAAAGAAAATATAGAGGAAAATGAAAAATTAGAAGCTAGAAAAAACATTGAAATCCCAGCTAACCCTTTTTATCATCCTTGTCAGGTTATTTTTTATGGGGCTTCCTGTTTAATGATTCGATATTTTCCGATTTTTGAATATTTTAATTTTAAGCAAGTTATAACCCCACCTTTACATGTGTGTGAAACTTATGACATGAACTAAATGATGGAGAATAAAATCTCAGTTCAAATTTATTTCTATTCCACAGAAACAAATCTTCCGTTCTGATTCGTGATTTATTGGGGGAAAAAAATCGATGACTATATTGGGTTATTCCACAAGGCCCATTACACATGAATTCTGATAAGATTATGGGTTTCTTCTTCGATTAACTGATTACAGAAACAAACTAAGACACACATTGAAATTCAATTGGCCCATGCTTTCCATCATGAGACTCCTAGAAAAAATATTTTTGTTAACTACACAATTTTTTAAAAATAAAATTGATACACAATTTAGATTGTTTAAATAAAAATTAAATGTTCCGAATATGCTTTTTGCAAGGCTTACTCATTTTTGGAAAAAAAAACTTCAGAAAATTTTTAATAACAAAATAATAAACATTTATTTTGGAAGACTGATTATGAGCTTTTAGATCCGTTTGGACTGACATTGTAAGTTTATAACAATATTCTTTTGCCCATGGTTTATGACTTCAGTATCCATTTAAAAATTGGTTGACAATTTTTTTATTTAAAACAGAATAGAAAAATACCGGCAAAAAAAAAAAAAGAAATGCACAGAAATATTTTTAAAAAAAAACAATGGAGACAAGCCCGGATTTCTCTAAAACATATCTAACAAATTGGTAAAGACAAATAAGCTAAGAAATTAGATGGATCCAAAGTGACGGAAGATTTAAGAAAATTTGTCATCATCCTTGTCACGTTATTTTCCATGTTTTTTAGATCCAATATTTTTTAGAGATTTTTTAAGCAACTTATGACCTCACATTTACATGTGTGTGAAACTTATAATATGAACTAAGGGATGGGAAGCAAATCAGAGTTCAAATTTATTTCTATTCCAAAGAGTTTAAAAAAAAAAGAAAAAGCACAGTATTAGACGCATCAGCACACATGGTACTCATAGATTCTGAAAAGTATACCATTTTAATTTTATTCATATTCACTTTGTGATTGAAAGAAAGCATCATATTCCATGTCTTTAAAAGCAATTTAGCAAAATCATTATTCAGCAATATCTTATGAAAGATTGGAATATAATTTAATGCAACCACGTAATTAAATCACCAAGCTGATTCCCATATATACTGTATTTTACTTTTCGTAAAGATGAGATACAATAATTTTAGTTGAGAAAGATTTCCGATCTCAATAACAATGCTTTTTTTTTTTTTTACGTGTGACAAGTTATTATGTACATGAGACAAATATATATATATATATATATATTAAAATACAGTAAGAGTTGCACATTTTTTGAAAAATAACAAAAATATATTCTAAATGATTAAGAATTAAGAAATATATTGAAATCCAATCGGTTCTTCCTTTTCATCATTCCTATTAAAACCCGTTTTTTGGGAGACTCCCAGAAAAATTATTTCTGTTAACTCTAAAAACTTTTTTAAACAACAATAATTATTAATAAATAACAAAATAAAAATAAAAATTAGATTATCCCATTCAAAATTAAATGTTCCAAATATTTTGTTCTAAGGTTTACTCAACTTGAAAAACCCTTTAAAAATTTTTAATGACAGAATAATAAGCACATATTTTCAAAAACTTATGACAAGCCCATTATTAGATATGTTATTACACTCGTGGTGTGACTGTATAAACCGTTTCATGATTCTGATGATGAATGGTTTTTTTCGCTTTAAAAAATAATAGAAAATGTTGGCAAAATTAAAAAAATTCATAAAAATAACAAAAAAATTAAAAATTAAAAACAATCAAGAGAACTAGGATAAGATTATGCTAACAAAGTACGCTACTGTAAAACAAAAACAAATATAAATATTAGAAATAATCAAAGACATACCTGACAAACTGTTATAAGACAAACTCAATAACTCAAGTGAAGATAAGTTGGAAATTGTTCGGGGAATATTTCCTGAAAGCTTGTTACCCGCAAGACGTAAAATGGTCAATTTCTCAAGTCTTCCCACCTCAAGCAGAATGGTCCCTTCAATGTAATTAAAATTCCAATCCAATGTCTCTAACATTGTCAGATTGAATAGAGATGGTGGAATAATTCCATTAAGACTATTATTTCGAAGATTTAGTTTCTCAAGTGAAGATAAACCTCCTATCCCTATTGGAACTTGCCCATGAAAATCATTGCAGCTCAAATTGAGTAGTTCCAATCTACGCAATTTAACTAGCTCGTTTGGTATTTGATCATGAAAATCGTTGTCACTGAGGTCAAGTTCAACAAGGAATGAGAGATTTCCTAGTTGTGGAGATATGGTACCCTTAAGATCCATGCCACCAAGATTCAAGGAATGGACTCTTCCGTGACGAGTATTGCATGTGATACCAATCCAACTGCATGGAGAAGAAGAGACAGACCAATTAGCTAAGAAATTGTGTGGATCTGAAGTGATAACGGATTTAAAGACAAGAAGTGCAGATTTGTCGGTAGTGATATTTGTATCACTCCAAGCTAAGGAGGCCATGAAGGAATGGAGTAAGAAGAGGAAAACAAAAGAAGAAGGTCTTCCCATTATGTGTAGCATATCAGACTTATCAAAATCTCAAGTATTCTGCATCCAGGAATTAACATACATGACGTTTTATACTTCTTTGATTCCAAATCAAACAAATTGCGCAGTTGGAAAAGGACATCTTTCGTGATAAGTCCCACATGTCCCCTTTCTAAATTATAAGTTTTAATTAATAATAATTACATAATAATGGTTTATCAAAAAAACATTACATATTAAAAACTAAGGTGCAGTGCTAGATTAGCTTGAAACAATAGTTTTTGATATAAAATAAATATGTGAGAATAATTTTATCTGATAAAATATAAAAGTGATTATTCGTTTTAAAAAAATAAAAGTGATTATTTTAAGTCCTAAACAGGCAAACAGCTCCTAAATTGTGACTTCAAACCTCTAAGTCTATGCTGCCATTAATATAATCAAATTAATTAATAATTGTGGGGAGATAGGTATCAATATCGCACATTCATAACAAAAGACCTTTTTTTTTCTTGGCAACTTCAAGTCAGTGGACAACAAAGTCATGCACCATTTCACACGAAACAACTCCTATGTATTTTGTGGTCAAGTTTGGTAGGTCATCACTAGAGATTACCCCAAAATAACGTTAGCTAGGAGACATCAAAGAAACAAACAAATGTATATGTATTTGTTAATATATATATATATAGCCTTCAGAAATACGAAAAAAGTTGACGCGCTTGACTATTATTCTTCTAGTCCTATTTCTAAGGCCATGTTTCGCACAAACCAAGGAAAACCTTAAACTTCATTAACTCTCATATAAAATTTAATGACTCTTCAATTTATCCCTATTTAATATACATTATACATCATATAAAAAAAGTCAATACAATAATAAATGAGGGATAAAATTGTACATCCATACAAAAAATTTCTCTCAGTGCCTTCGAACTTCTAAGTCTATGCTCCCATTAACATAATAAAATTAATAAATATAACGGAGAGATAGATATCAATATCACACATCCATGACAAAAGAGCTTTTTTTATTTTTGGCAACTTCAAGTGGTTGGACCAAAAAGTCATGCACCATTTCACACGAAACAACTCCTATGTATTTTGTGGTCAAGTTTGGTAGGTCATCACTAGAGATTACCCCAAAATAACGTTAGCTAGGAGACATCAAAGAAAGAAACAACTATATATCTATTTGTCAATATATATATATAGTCTTTAGAAATACGAAAAAAGTTGGCGCGCTTGACTGTTATTCTTCTAGCCCTATTTATAAGGCACATCAAGCATGTTTCATACAGACCAAGAAAACCTAAACTTCATTAACTCCCATTTAAAATTTAATGACTCTTTAACTTTATCCCTATTTAATATACATTATACCTCATATAAACAAAGTCAATACAATAATAAATGAGGGGTAAAATTGTACATCCATACAAAAAATTTCTCTCAGTGCCTTCGAACTTCCAAGTCTATGCTGCCATTAATATAATCAAATTAATTAATATTGCAGGGAGATAGATATCAGTATCACACATTAATGACAAAAGAGCTTCTTTTTTGTTTGGCAACTTCAAGTGAGTGGACCACAAAGTCATGTACCATTTTACACGAAACAACTCCTATGTATTTTGTGGTCAAGTTTGGTAGGTCATCACTAGAGATTACCCCAAAATAACGTTAGCTAGGAGACATTAAAGAAACAAACAAATATATATGTTTTGTCAATATATATAGTCTTCAGAAATACGAAAAAAGTTGACGCGCTTGACTGTTATTCTTCTAGTCCTATTTATAAGGCACATCCAGTATGTTTCACACAGACCAAGGAAAACCTTAAACTTTATTAACTCTCATTTAAAATTTAATGACACTTCAACTTTATGCCTATTTAATATACATTATACCTCATATAAACAAAGTCAACACAATAATAAATGAGGGGTAAAATTGTATATCCATACAAAAAATTTCTCTCAGTGCCTTGAACTTCTAAGTCTATGCTGCCAGTAATATAATCAAATTAATTAATAATTGCAGGGAGATAGATATCAATATCACACATTAATGACAAAAGAGCTTATTTTTGTTTTTTGGCAACTCAAGCGAGTGGACCACAAAGTCATGCACGATTTCACACGAAACAACTCCTATGTATATTGTGGTCAAGTTTGGTAGGTCATCACTAGAGATTACCCCAAAATAACATTAGCTAGGAGACATCAAAGAAACAACAAATGTATATGTATTTGTTAATATATATATATATAGCCTTCAGAAATACGAAAAAAGTTGGCGTGCTTGACTGTTATTCTTCTAGTCCTATTTCTAAGGCACATCCAGCATGTTTCGCACAGACTAAGGAAAACCTTAAACTTCATTAACTCCCATTTAAAATTTAATAACTCTTCAACTTTATCCCTATTTAATATACATTATACCTCATATAAACAAGTCAATACAATAATAAATGAGGGGTAAATTGTGCATCCATACAAAAAATTTCTCTCAGTGCCTTCGAACTTGTGAGTCTATGCTGCCATTAATATAATCAAATTAATTAATAATTGCAGGGAGATAGATATCAGTATCACACATTAATGACAAAAGAGCTTTTTTTTTTTTTGGCAACTTCAAGTGAGTGGACCACAAAGTCATACACCATTTCACACAAACAACTCCTATGTATTTTGTGGTCAAGTTTGGTAGGTCATCACTAGAGATTACCCCAAAATAACGTTAGCTAGGAGACATCAAAGAAACAAACAAATATATATATGTATTTGTCAATATATATATATATAGCCTTCAGAAATACGAAAAAGTTGGCGTGCTTGACTGTTATTCTTCTAGTCCTATTTATAAGGCACATCCAGCATGTTTCACACAGACCAAGAAAAAGCTTAAACTTCATTAACTCTCATTTAAAAATTTAATGACTCTTCTTCACTTTAATCCCTATTTAATATACATTATACCTCATATAAACAAAGTCAATACAATAATAAATGAGGGTTAAAATTGTACATCCATACAAAAAATTT